GGATCAAAACTCACTCAATGATCTGGTACTGTGTGTTCCCAGCATCTGTCCACTGAGAAGTGATGCCAGAAACTATCACCTTATTTCACCCAAGCATTATCAAACAGGACCAGTTTCTAGATACTTCACTGAAAGAAGTCAACAACATGAAACATTCTAGGCTAGCACTAAATAGTTGCAAACTGGAAAAGTCAAATTTTAAACAAAAAGCATTCTAAATAAGTGCTAAATAAGAAGGAAAAATTCTATTAAAAACAATCCCTCTGCTTAAGATGTGTTTACCTAATCCTCACTCTGTTTTCATCTTTTTTCTGTCTTTCTCTGTTTCTCTACCATTTCTGACCTCACCTTTTATAATCCTACTGCTATTTCATCCAGTTGCTCATCTATTTCAACATTCAGGTTGCAGTGAAGGTGAATGGGTGCAAGTATTTTGCTCTTCTACACCCACTTTACAACCACCGCCTTGAAGACCACAGAAACAAACCCCACTTACAGCCCCTCCTCCGTTGCAGCCTGCTGCTGCTGCTGCTGTGTGGAATCCAGATCTTCTGCAACCTGCTTTGGGTGAGCTCTCCCATCTCTTGAGACATCATAGGCATTGCAGCTAATGACATCTATGTCCACAAGGTAGCAGCCCTCACTTCCTGTTTTACTAGCTGTCTTTTTTTTTGTTGCTGTACAGGGAGGTACACTGAGTTTCTGAGCCCTCTGGCAGTCTCTCTCTAGCCCCCTCTCCTCTTTCCCAGTCCTTGCCTACCTCTGCTCTTGTATGTACCAGTGGGGGCTTGGGTACAGAGAGGCAGAGGTTGGGCAGAGGTCAACAGGGGCCTCTGAACTCCAAGAGCTGTGTACATAGGAGATAAAAATTAGTGCCCAGAAAGGAGGACAGCCAGCAAGACAGCCCAGGTCTGGTCAGTCACTTCCCTCCAATGAAGACAGGACCAGTAGACTATGCAAATAGAAGACCAATGATCACGTGGTTATATTCTGTGTGGAGTGGGAAGGCAAAGGTGATGGAGGCAGGTCTTAGCAACATTTGCTGCTGTGAAATAAAAAAATAAGACCAATCAAAATGTCAAGTTCCAAAACAAAAACAGAGATCCAATCAGAAATGCTGGGTTCCCAAGTGCAAAGACAAAAAGTGCCTACTGAAAAATGCAGTTTTGAGCTAGGGATCAAATGCCTGAACTGGATGCCTGAACTGTCTTCATTGCCCATCTGCTCCCTCCTCTCAATGGCGTTGTAATGTTTATCTTCTCCTGAATTCTGCTCCCTTTCCTACCGAAGGGACTCTCCTTCTTAAATGTGCTGCTTTGAATACTCTTGGAAAGATGGACACTATCTGATCATCTCTGTGCTCTCTCCAGCCAAGGAAAAACAAATCAGAGTAAGCCTGACACAGTCAGGTGAGGAGAGAATGTAGCCACTGCTTGGGGAAGAGATGGTAAGTACTGCCCTCATGGCTCCTAGGTGCAACTGGCTGCCCTAAGGAGAAAGGCATCATGATCAGAACCTGTCTAAAGTTTTTCATACCAAGCCAAGGGGATGGAGGCTCAGGGTGGAGGCTGCAGCAGGTACAGTGTGCGGAGCAGGGACCAGTGACCTCAAAGTAGACAAATCCTTAACCCAGAGCCATCCCACCCAGATGTCTCCACTTTACCTTTCCCCCTCCACTTGGTTGTTTTGAGACACTTATGTGTAGAACTCATCTAATGGCACAGCTTATCTGGAAGATGTGCAAGAGTACTCTTACTTCATTCTTTTGCAACCTTTAGACCCACCTGATGAACCTCCAGTGATTGACTATGAGGAAGTTCAACTGTCTCCCACTGAGCTGGGCTATACAGGGGCAATCTCTTGGGGATAGAAACCTCCAATCCCCTCTCTTCAAAGATCTCAGCTCTACATTGCCTCTTAAGAAGTTCCATAAAATACATTCTCAGAATCCTAGTCTACACAAGGGTTAGAGTCCTTTCAGTTATTGTGTATAAATCATACCAAACTTTCAATACATTTCAGAGTTACCCATCTAAATTAATCTACTGAGATAGTGGATTACAGATGTTAAGAGTGATGGGCTCTGAAGACATATTGGCTGAGTGGAATCCCATCTCTGCCCCTAGCTATGAAACCCTGGGCAGACTTAGCTTTTAGTGCCTCTATTTTTTCATCTGGAATGTGGAAATAAGAGTACTTACTTCCATATGGTTGTTTAAGATTTAATGTGTTAATATATATATATATATATATATATATATATATCTCAATCTGGGATATTTGCAATATATGTTATCTAACAGTGTGATTCCCCTTGTGAAGTAAATGATCAATCAGCTAATCTGCAACTTGTAATGTATTTTCAAGCTCACGGGAAACATTCAATATAGGAAACTTGAAATATGACAAGGCATTAACGTAAATAATAAAGAGCTTCTTTCAATCATTAGAAATGTATTTACTTTTACTTTTTTTGTTTTGTGATACAGAAGCCCCCTAGGAATCATTTTAGTCAATACTCTCAGATATAAAAACAGGCTTATGAGAGGGCATAGGGCATATTTTCCTAAAGTTCTGTAGCAATCAGTGACCAAGACAGAAGAGTGCTGGGACCTTGTTTCTCCTGGCCCAGGGCTTTTCTTTAGTTAATTGATCATTCTGTCTTGATTTAAGAATGTGGTCTTCCACATTTGCCCAAAGCCTTTAAATTCTCAGAACAACACTTTGGAAGATATAACTCTCTTAATCCTAGTAAGTCTCATAATGGGCATCACTCTCCTAATGCTAATAATCTTTAATAACAACTCTTTATGTGTATGCTTTCCATGGTCCACAAAGCAGTGATACATTCCTTATTTTATTTGCTTCTTATAAACATCCTCACTAGCTTCACAGGGAAACTGAGGACTGGCTTGTTCAAGGTAATCAAGCCAGTTACATGAACACTTCTATGTTTAGTTTTGTCCTCATGACCCTGCCAAGAGGCAGGAAGATAATTTTAGCAGCAAGAAATCTGAGACAGGTGGCTAGCAGGCTTTTGGCAAGGTCTGAAAGGGTAAACTTAGGGTCCAAGCTGAAAAATGCAAATTAAGGCTGTGTGGGTATAGGTGTTTTTATCATTGTTACCTATTTGATCCCCCAAACAGGAGAATCAAACATGTTTCTTGGAAAATATCAGCTTGGATTGTCTCAGTTAAGGCCTGACATACCACTCTGGCCTTGTCACTCTGGAGAGACCCGCCATGCTAAAACTGCACTGACTCACTGGTCCCAAAAATACACTACATTTGTAGTTGTTTTTTTTTTTTTTTGTTTTTGTTTTTGTTTTTGTTTTGTTTTGTTTTGCTACTCTGCCTTTGCTTAGTCTGGAATGCCTTCTCTTTCCTTCTATTGTCAGTGAAATCTAACTTACTCATCCAGGCCTGGTTCAAAGTTCACCTCTTCTGGGAAGCCTGTATCCTTAGGGGAGTTTTTATCTTTGGTTCTCAGAGCGCCTATGTGTTCCTGTCTGTCTACTGAGCAAGTATCCACCAGGACTTTATTGGTCTACTTTCCCACTTCACTGTGAGCTCTTTGAGAATGGGCACTAGACTGGATCTCAGTTATCTCTGATTTGTATTTTCATGTGTTTAGCTCAGGCCCTGGCACAGAGGAGATACTTGTTCAATGATTGTTTGTATAAGCTACATCTCTCTGCCCTGTATGATAGGACTATATGGACAAATAATCAAAGCTCAACAAGGTAAATGTTTTGACAGAGCTATGTGGGGAACTGTGTAGGGACTAACTTGATCTGAAGTAAGAGGTGGAAGTTAGAAAATTTTTCAACCTTCAATGGGGTGGAACAGAATAAAGAAATGAACTCCTTCCTGAAAAGGTCCAGTTTTTTGCAACCAAAGGATTTAAAAAAGGTTGCAAAAAAAGGATTTACTCACTTTTAGAGACTCACTCATAACTAACAGCTGAGCTGAAAATTTAAAATGGGGTTATCTCTAGGGAGGAAAAACACACAGTGTGACTTTCTGAGGCCTGCAGATCCTGACCACCCTCCCAAAGTACTAGAAGGATATATAGTGACATAGAAGAAAATTCCATTAAAAGGATTATCAAGTCAGTACTAATGGGTAACAAAGTCACAAATGGGGTTTGCCTATTGGTACTTTTTGGAGTGTGTGAGTGTTAATGTATTTGTTGGGGGCTAGTGTGCAGAGAAGACATTACCTACATGCTTATAGGCCAGGTGCCTATATATAAGTATTAGATCTTCTTTGGCAGCAGCCTAGAGTCCATTTTCTTCTTTGGCATTGTCCTGGTCCATCATACCCCCACTATTTTCAGCCTGATGCCTGGGGCCAACACTCACCAAGCTGAGTTCTGTGCGTGGCTGGCTCTCTAGCAATCATATTCACTCAGGGAAAAGAGAAACTGGGGGATTGTGGGTGGTGTTGCCTGTGGAAGCTACAGAAAAAGCAGGATCTCTTAATATCAGACAGAGCATGGACATCAAGAAACACCTTCAAAGAGCCTTGGTTTTGTCCTCCAATCCCTCTTTACCTTCAGACAGCTCTGAGCAAAGTAGGCTAATGACTACAATTTCCACTTTAGTAAAGGAACTATTGAAACCCAGAGAAGTTAAAAAGGTTCTTCAGTTTTTTCAAAGTGCTACAGCAAACCAGATCTACTTCATACACCAGTGGGGAGGTAAAATATATAATATCCAGCAGTTCATTTTAAACTGACTGAGTAGACCAAGTTAGGTTTCTAAAAGTATTGGGGAATCCCCTTTGGGTCAGTGTCCCATGAAGACAAGTTAGAATGGATGACTGATGATTGATAGATCGAATTAGATATCATCTTTTCCCCAACTCTTCCACAGCCTTTAAAGCACACTTCACATGACCACCTATGCAAAAATCAAAACACAAACAAAACTTTTCAGAGCCAGAAGAATGGATTTGGACTTGTGTAACTCCCATCTTTTTTCCTCTTGTTTCACCTACCTGTTCTCCTAGAGGTTTTATCTTCCATTGCTAATTATCCAACTTGCAGGTCTCTTGTATTTAGAGCCCCAAAGCAAGGCCAGTGGGTGGCCTTAAAGAGGGAGCCTGGAGGCCTTCTTGGTTCCCTGGGAAGACTGGGAAAGTACCCTTGGTAAAAAGGGAAGTGTGCTCTGTTGAAACATCAGCTGTTGTACTTGCCAAAGAAGTTCCTGAGCCACACAGAGCCTTTTCTCTTCAGGCCAACCATGTGTTCACCTTGCCCTAAAGGTCAGAACTATTATTAACAAACCACCACAGAAAAAGTAAATTAAAACCAGCAATGGAAACTGGATTTCCTTGAGGCTGAATTTCAGGTTAATTTTTGGTGTAAATGGGTACAATCCCTTACTGGAAAGTAATTTGGCAATAAGAAGCAAAAGCAATAAAAATGTTCATTTCTTTTGTCCTAATTATTCCACTCCTGGGACTCAATTCTGAGCCAATAACCATCAAAGTATGAAAGAGCTCAAAACACTACTAAGTCCCAGGGCAAGTAAGGGTTAAGTAGGCAGCTTTAGGGACAGTGCAGGCAGGGACTTTGGGAGAGTTAAGGGAGGCCTCTGAGATAATGGCAGAGAAAGTCAGGAGGGCTAATGAGGGCACAAAATTTTAAGGCTAAAATGTGAGGCTAATTGGGACAGTAAATTTTAGGAGACCACGGACAGGGGAGGTAAAAAGAGAAACTCTAAGATAAGAGACTGGAAAATGGGCACATCTGCCCATAGGAGGATAGCCACTAGGAGGAAGAGTCAATCACAAAATAGGGCGCCTTGGAGTCTTTGCTTTTGTTGCTTTTGTTCTTTTTCCTCTAAATAAGCATTTTCTTACTTTCTTGTATAAAGTTTGCTTCTCTTTGCTTACTTATCTAAAACATCTGCAAATTCATTTTTACGACTTCGTGGGACAAGAACTTGTGGTGGTTCAAGGGCTAAATTAACAGCCCTCACTGGTGTCACTATCATTTTAATTGCACAGCTATTTTCTGATGGCAACTACTGGAAGATCACCTTAAGTTTTCCAGGAGGAAAAGCGATTCATTTGGTCTTTTTTTTTTTTTTGTGGATATTGAGAATGATGGCTCTAAGGCTGTGGAACACTAGGAAGAAATAATTATGCTGTTATTTGAATAAGGAACATAACGATAACAAGTTATGCTCTTCTCTGGACATTGAGCATGTCTATTATTTGTGTGTGTCTGTGTGTTCTCAAAATAAAGTTATTAACCTGTAGGTGTTCTTGCTATTTTCCTTTGTTCATTCATTCAACAAATATGTATTGACCCCTAATCCGTGCTGTGTTCTCTGTTGGGTAACCGGGCTAACAAGATGAGTCAACATGTTAATTGCTCTCAAGTTATGGGAATTCCAGTAGCAGAAATTAAAATCAATCGTAGCTATGCATTGTGATAAGTGCTGTGGGGGCTCAGAGGAAACTATCTACCTGGGTAAGTGTGTGGTTGGAAAAGACTTACTCAACAAAGTATTCCTTGAACTGATTAGGATAAAGTTTGAATCCTGGCTCTACCATATCTGAGATCCCGGTGAATTCACTCAAGCTCTTACTTAGCCTTAATGTTCCATACATGGTTGTCCTGAGAATGACATAGAGCATATGGAAGAGCCACGGGTTACACTGGGAGACAGTGTTGCTCTGGAACTTAAATTCTCTGGGTCTCAACTTTAGTCATCTGAGAAATGAAGCCAAAAGACAGTATGCCAGGCAAAGTCCTTAGCTGCGTGGTAAGACCCAAGACAAATAATGGCTGGAGGGCAGGCTTGAAACAGTCTACGCCCTCCCTCCCTTCGCCCCCAACCCCCAGTAAAGCACGAGTCCCTGTCCTAAATCTTACTGCACTAGCGTGCTTCTTATCGCTTCCTCTTCCAGCCCGAAGATCCTTTAGCTCGACCTCACATCCTCCGGGGCACACTTACATCTGCTACTCCCGGGGTGCCAGTGCAGCAGCGGCAGCCTTCCGCGCCACTTGGGGGAAGGGGTTTGTCCCACTGGGGGCGGGGCCTCGGGGCCGCACTTTTCACTGAAGGCTTACAAAGTGAAATCCCATTTGTAAATAATCGTAAGCACCAAGGGGACTTTTGAGCTGTACAAAAACGCAGTCAGACTCCTGCACGTGAGCCAGTGTGCAGAGGGAGGTGCAGGAGCCCAACCAGAGACCTGCCACCGCCCACAGCCATAAGTACTGTTAGGCTGTCACACCACACCCCTTCTGCTTCCGCTCCTTCCGCCAATGAGAAACTAGGCCTTGAAGTCCCGCCCTACGTGGGCTTGACCCGTGCGTGGCACACTCTAGAAGAACGCCTGCGCAAATGCGCTCGGGGGGTCGGGCCTGGTGACGCGTTAGACCAACAATTCGGTGCACCTAGGTTTGGCGCGGGCCTGGAAGGCCTTCTAATTCTCTACCAGAGAATGTTGCGAGTGGTTAGCTGGAACGTCAATGGGATCCGGAGCCCCCTGCAAGGGTTGGTGAAAGAGGAACCCAGCAACTGTACCTCCGGAGATATGGGGCGCATTTTGGACAAGCTGGATGGTGACATCGTCTGCCTCCAGGAGACCAAAGTGACTAGTGAGTTCTCAAGAATCCAAGACATTGCCATACTTATCATTTCCCGTAACTTTGCTCCTTCTCATTTCAATTCCCCATTTCTCTATCCTTGAAGTCCTCCTTTTAGGCTCGTTTAAAATTCTAAATGTCTCTCCCTTAAACCCCTGTTTCTCACTCCAACTACATTTCCTAATCCCACTCTTAATCTCCTTTCCTCAGCAGAACCTTACCCTTCCCCTTGCACCCCCTATCCTTGCTCATATTCTCAAATTCCCACTCATTCTCCCGCCCCAGCTCCATCCCCTAAATTTCTTCCTCTTACACCAGTGTCTATTCCCAAGTCAGACCCTCCAACTCCCCTTTTCTGGTCCCCAACTTAGATCCCTGATTCTCACCCCATCTTTGCCCCAAGCTCAGACTTCCTAAAATTTCCTCCTTTTTATACCTCCATCTCACATCCTCAGTTCCCCTTATCTTTTATCCCTATCACTCTCCCCAGCTCAGAGCCTGTCAGTCCTACCTCATGTCCTACATCAAGCTTAGCCCTCCTTACTTCTTCTTACCTATCTCCATCTCAGTTTCCTGATTACTCTCCCACCCAACCTTCTTTGAAATACCCTAACCACATTTCCCTCCATCTTTTAATTTCCTCTGTCCTATTTCCCACCCCAGATCCCTCTAATCAAGTCACCCAGCCTCTCCCCACCTAATTCCCCACCTCCCAGTCTATAGTTTTCCCCTTTTTCTGATTCAGATATTCATTTCCTCCCTAGCCCACCTTTCTAACTCCTCTAATTTCCCTCACAACTGTGGCTCTGATGTGTGCAAGGAATTAATTTACAACTGTAATCCCAGGTGTTTGTGTGTACTGGGTCATTATGTCATGACATAACTTACATCTTTTTCCGCCCCCCCCCCCAGGAGATGTGCTGACAGAGCCTCTGGCTATCATTGAGGGCTATAATTCCTATTTCAGCTTCAGCCGCAACCGTAGTGGCTATTCTGGTAAATGGGGCTTTATGTAAATTTTAAATCAGTGATGGAGGCAGATGGGGGGAAGAGTTTCAAGTAGTTGATGAGAAGGCAGTAATAAAGTTGGGGTTCTGTTCTATTTTATAGAGCTAAAGCTACATAGCATTATTTGAAGGATAATTTTTAATGTATAAATTTATCCTCTTGAACTTCAGATACACGATAGTGTGGTGGTAAATTGTATAACAAGTGACCTGTGTGGGGGCAACAGGCTGTGTAACAGGCTGTTGGCTTCCAGGCCTGCTCAGACTACCCTGTCTTTTTTCAGGTGTAGCCACCTTCTGTAAGGACAGTGCTACCCCAGTGGCTGCTGAAGAAGGCCTGAGTGGCCTACTTGCCACTCAGAATGGCTACATAGGTTGCTATGGAAACATGGATGAGTTCTCCCGTGAGGAACTTCGGGCTCTGGATAGTGAGGGTCGGGCCCTCCTCACACAGCACAAAATCCGGTAATAGTTCGTATCCCTGTTACTCAGCACTACAGGTTCTACTCTGAATATCATGATTCTGAGTCTTGCCTTATAAATATGCATTCACTGTGGAAAAATCTCCACACTTACCTTTCCTGGATTCTAGTCCTTGTTGGGCTACTTACTGTGGGCTCCTGGGAAAATCATGGTATTCTCTTAGCATTGAGTATCCTTTCTCAACAGTGGAGGCGGTCATGGTGGGTGGGTAAGAAAGTGGAGAAGTGCAGCTGGCCATCAGGCACAGCTTTCTTAATACCTCAGAAGCAACTTAGTTAATGCTGATCTCATTGCCCCAAGTAGCTCTCTTTCTGGGTATCCCATCATTGTGAATGGCAGTATCATCACCTGGGTGTCATACTAGATGCCCCTCTCCCTGCCTCAGCTATAGTCATTCCTCAAGTCCTATGCATGCCTGTTCATTAATGGTTTGCTAACCCCTTCCTTCACTTCTGTCCCACACACATTAAGTGGAAGCTGTTTGGTGTGGGGAAGAAGGAAAGGCTTAAAAATAACCCCTTTTGTGATTTTCTTCTCTGCAGCACGGAGGAAGGAAAGGAGAAGACCCTGACCTTAATCAATGTTTACTGTCCCCATGTGGACCCTGGGAAACCTGAGCGGCTAGCTTTTAAGATGCGTTTCTATCGCTTGCTGCAGATCCGAGCAGAAGCCCTCCTGGCAGCTGGCAGGTACTGTAAGTCTGGGCAAACTCCCATTGGAGGATGTGGTATCTTTGTCTTCTGAGTTCTTTTGCAGCCTGATTTTAGATGTCAGCCTCACATGAATAAGCCCTGATCCATAAGAACTGTGAGGGACAGGTAAAGTAAAACAAGTATGGATTTTGTACTCAGATACCTCTGAGAACTATTCTGGCTCATTTTGCTCACTATGATCCCCAGGTACTTTAGGGAAAAGAAAGTAAGGGTAGATTAAAGTAATCAAGGGATGCGTCCTAGAGGAAGTGGTATTTGAGCTTAAATTTTTTTGAAGGACCAGAAAGATGCCATTAGGTAGAGATAGTGAGACAGTTATATCAAGTAGGGAACATTGGAGATCAGTATTGGGTTGGTCAGGTGTAACAGGCAGCAAAGTCATGGCGAAATTGGAGAGGCAGGTTGCTATAAGTTGTTGTTGGTGCCCACCGTGGCCTCAATGTGGGAGGTAACCTGAGTTCTTGGACCCAAAACAATGTCGATGGGCCAGGACTATGTCCCTTTCTTGATTGTTTTATATCATGTTTTTCAGCCATGTGATCATTTTGGGTGACCTGAATACAGCCCACCGCCCCATTGACCACTGGGATGCAGTCAATGTGGTAAGGCTCCCTCTAGGCCACCAGTCTCACTCTGGACTGTTGTTATATTCAGCCAGTCAACCAACGCTGGGTTTTTGGCTCCATCATTCATTCATCAATAGGCAATACTAACCCTGTCCTTGGCCTGGTCCTAAGCCATGTGCTGAGTACTTGGTTACTAGTCAGTTCCAGCTCTTGACCTCTCAGTGTGGTGGTGGGCTGTGTGACCAGGCAATAATAGAATGGTATCTTTAGATTGCAGTTCAGGAGGCTGGGGAAGCCCAAGAAATGCACTTCTTGGGTCAGCCTGGACATGAGGGGAAGCATCAAAATGGCTAAATCTTAGACGATGACTAGACAAAACTTTGGGGTGGGGAGAGCAAAGCATTCTAGCATAAGCAGAGACTACAGGGTAAAAATTTTGCCTGGTGTGCATGTGGAACTTAAGTCCTATTCTTGTTAGGGGATATCACAGGAGGGGAGGTGAGAGGTAGACGATAGGGCTGGAATCCTTTGGGGCCTTGAACTCTACATTGCCTTGCTCATTTCCCTAATACACTATGTTTTCTGCTCATGAACCTTGTAATACCTCCCTGTTACCTCTATGATAGAGAGAAAACATCTAGGCCTGGAAATACAAAGTTCTTTCTGAGTTTGTGCCTAGTCTCCATTTCTATCCTCAGTACCCCTACACACTCTGTCCACTTCAGCCAGCCTGTCTTCTCTCTGCCGTTGCAGAAGCTATTCTCATTTTGGTTTTGCTTCTTGTACCCTGAATTGGTGTGCATGTTCATCTTTCTAGTATGAACCTTTTGTCACTGAGTCCCTCTAGACCAGTGGTTCGCCGCACTTGATATTGGACAAGGAACTTTTATAAAAATATCAATAGCTTGGTGCTACTCAGACCAATTAAATCAGAATCTGTTGGGTGTGAGGCCAGGGTTGCAGTATGTTTCAAAAGCCCCCAAGCTGATTTTATTGTATAGTCTGGTTTGTGAACCACTGCACTAGAATCTATAAGCCACTTCTCAGCTTGCCTCATGAGGGAAGGGATCATGAGGTTGAACTGGGCTTGGCTCAAAGAAGAGGCTGTAGGAAGATCCCTTGATTAGTTTGCAGGTAAGAAACATAAATGTAGACGTGGCTTCCAGCTGAAAAAATGAGCAGAAGTGAGATAATGGCGATGGTGAAATGAAGGGAAAAGTGTGAACACTACAAAGTGCGAACCTTCAGTTCCACTGTACCTTATTCCTCATCAAGTATTTAATCAGTCTATTCTTTGTTCCCTGAGATGTGTCATATACCTTTATACTTTCTCTGTAGTTGAGAATTATCCTAGATCTCTCAAGTGTGCATTTTACATTCTTCCTTTCTGGAAAAGAGAACTGACTGATGGTACTAGGTCACATGACAAACACAGTCTCTCCAAAATGGTAGAATATGTCCACTTCCCACAAGACTGGCTCTTCTAATTTTTTCTTTTCCCTAATTGGCACTATCATCCCCTTGGTTGTTCCAACCAGAAGCCTGGGAATTGTGTTAGTATTGTCCTCCTCCTCTACCCTCTATTCCCACATTCACTTACTCAGCAAGTACTATTGCTTCTAGCTATAATTCATTTCTTAATTTCATTTTTCTCCATCTCCTTTGGCACTATCTTAGTTAAAGGGACCATCATCTCTTGATTGCATAGATTATGGTATTCCTACTGGTATTCTGACTCCTAGTCTAGTCTCCTCTCAAGTCTTTTGGGTATATTTCCCCTTCCCTTTGCAGACTAATCACACAGGCTGTTCTTAATTTTTGACACCTTTTGCCTGGATTACTTCTGAGCCTTCACATCACAGCTTCAGATCACTTTTTGAAAGGGACCTTCTTTAGACCCCAGAGTGAGATCAGGTTCCCTAGCATCATTCCTGGCACATAATCTATATTCTTTGAGCATTTGTCGTATTGAATGAGGAGGTTGAGGGGTGGAGTAGATTGCATGGATGGGTAATTTGGAAATCTGAGTTAAAAAAAAGTATTTAGGCATAGATCATTGGAGCCTCCTAGTTCAGAAGGGTAGGATGATCAGTGATGGCTTTCAATACACAAGATAAGGCAAATAGTGCTAATGTTCTCAACTCCTAACCCCAGTCCTATTTCCTAGAGGCAACCACTTTTGACTTTACACTTTTCATTCTTTTGGTGAGCTATTATAAGGATTGCTTTGAGTAAACAAACAGCAGATTTTCAGATTTGATGTTTGTAGACCAATGCAAGGCAAATATAGCCTGATGTAGAGGGAAAAATAAGCATGGGCTCTTCAATTAGTAAGGATGGAAATTGAATCACAGCTCTGCCAGTTCTGGATTGCATGACCTTGTTCTTTGGAAAATGAAGCAGTTAGTTTAAGTCCCTTCCAGTTCTAGGTATCTAGTTCAGCCTCTGTCTTTATCCCTTTCCTTCTTCCCCAGGAATGCTTTGAAGAGGACCCAGGGCGCAAGTGGATGGATGGCTTGCTCAGTGACCTGGAGTGCCAGGATGGATTCCACATAGGGCCATTTATTGATACCTACCGCTGCTTTCAACCAAAGCAGGAGAGGGCCTTCACCTGCTGGTCAACAGTCACTGGTGCCCGCCATCTGAACTATGGCTCCCGGCTTGACTATGTGCTGGGGGACAAAAACCTGGTCATAGACACCTTCCAGGCCTCCTTCCTGTTGCCTGAGGTGATGGGCTCTGACCATTGTCCTGTGGGTGCAGTCCTGAGTGTGTCCTCTGTACCTGCAAAACAGTGCCCGCCTCTGTGCACCCGCTTTCTCCCTGAGTTTGCAGGCACCCAGCTGAAGATCCTTCAATTCCTTGTTCGTCTGGAACAAGATTCTGTGTATAAGCAGTCGGCACTGCAACTCGGTAATCAAATTCAGGTACAGAAGCACCAAAGCAAAGCCTGTGTGCGCTCAACTAGGCCTCGACCAAGTCAGGTTCGCTCCAGCAGAGGCCAAAAAAACTTGAAGAGCTACTTTCAACCATCCTCTAACTGTCCCCAAGCTTTTCCTAACCTGGAGCTTCCAAACCTAGATGGTTTTGTGACTCCAAAGACACCAGAAGAGGTAATGGCCAAAGTGGTGGTGCAGACGAAGGCATCAGATTCAGAAGCCAAAGATGAGAAGGAGGTGCAAACCTCATTCTGGAAATCTGTGCTAGGGGGGCCTTTGCCTGTGCCCCTCTGTGGGGGACACAAGGAGCCATGTGTAATGCGAACTGTAAAGAAGCCAGGGCCCAACCTGGGCCGCCATTTCTACATATGTGCTAGGCCCCAGGGTCCTCCCACTGACCCCTCCTCCCGCTGCAACTTCTTCCTTTGGAGCAGGCCCAGCTGAACCAACCTAGACCTAGGGATATCTGATATGATCAGTTCTTCTGTACATGATCTAAGGCGAGCTCCTTCCTAAATTACCTCCTCCTCCCCCAGGGCCTTTTCCTTTTCTTTCCTTCACTTTTTCCCTCCTCCAGGGTCCTTTCCTTTCTCTTCCTCATACACATCTCATTAGAGAGCTTCATGTGCCTTAAAACTGATCCAGGCCACTGTCTCACTTCTGACAGGAAGGTTACTCCAGGAAGATGTGATTTTTAAACCCCTTCCTTCCTTGTTGGAAAATATGCTTATTCTTAAATAAAACTTGTCTCTGTTTTATCTCACCGTGTTGTGTGGACCTTTTAGATGTGCTCCATGGAGTTGAGTCTGAGATGTTATCTCAGAATTGGATTGCCACCAGCCTGTATGACAGAAATAAAACTCCCAGAGAAGGGGGGGGAGTGGAGTGGCATATACCATAAAGGGCTCTGCTGAGTTGTATAGGTTCCCTGCATTACTGAGGTTGGATCAATAAGAATGGTAGGTATGGTGTGGCAGAAAGTTCAAGTGGACTTTGTGGCCTTAAATCAGGGTTTCCCAATTGCCGTGTCCCGCAGCTGCTATACATGGCTTACAATGTGAGAAGAAATGGGTCCTTATGTCATTGAGTTTCCAGGCCAGGAATTGCACAAGTGTCTGGGAAGATTACCTTCTAGGCAAGTAGAGTTAGTTCGCCCAAGCGTGCTATGCGAGTGTGTTCTGTGTGATGTGACCTGGAAATGTTGAGATCATTGTCTTGAAGAAGTTGTTATAGCTAAACCTCATCTCAGCAAAGGGGACTGGTATATCCTATACTATAAGGGGCGATGGGAAGGAAAGAGGATAATGGGTTGAGGAGAACATCCATTCTCTCTACTAGAAAATAGCTCCAAATGTTTGGGAACCATTCCTCTTCTCTAGGCAGTTTGGTAAGAATGACCCCATCTTTGGGCTTCAGAGACTATGTGGGCCCTATTTTCTAGGTCTACCAGTTAAGAGTCAGTCCCTGGATATTTGTCAAAACCATTGGGAAAGAGCCATTGTAAATGAAACTGCCAAGTATCTGGGCTCTTCATGCAACTCGCTGTGTAGTTTTTAGCCATTTCCTTCCTCTCTTTGTATCTCAGTTTCCTATCAGTAAAATGGGGTGGGTGGTCAGACCAACAAATGATCTGTGGTTTCCTCATGGCTCTGCCACTTGTTTGAAGGAGTCAGTTAAAGTGCAGTTGTCAGTTCTTGTCCAACAAAAGGCTACACAAGTGCTGCAGTTTGCTTTTTATTTTCAGATTCAAGTCAGCTAGAGGCACACAACAAAGCAGAGGACAGGAGGAGGTCCAGCCCCAAGTGAAGGGCTATTGGGGTGGGGATCTGAGGCAGTTGACTTCTCAAGCATAGGTGGTAACATACTGAGGTCCCATGTTCCCAAAATAGGAACGTTCCCATTCACTCATGAGCTCGAAGTGCACAGGACGGCGACAGAAATTGCAGGCAGCCACGGACACATCCTGGAGAGGTAGCCCCACCTCAGACCAGATTACCAGCAGCTTCTCTGAATGTGGTATGGAAGAAGGGAAAGAACTAGTTAGACTAGGTTTTCATATCCCTGGGTCAAGGTACAGATAATGATCCCCACAACCATTTGAGATGACTGAAAACTAGAAGTAGCCTCTTCTGTTGCTGTGGTATAAAAAAGATAGGATGGTAGGCCTCCCTGGTGGCACAGTGGTTGAGCGCTGGGTTATGTAGCTGCCTGTAGCCTCTGCAGCACCGGTTCTATCCCAGACCACCGGTGAGGGTCCCACATGGTGCGCGGACCTGTCCTGCCGCCCGCTGCTCCCCTCAGCAGTGTATTTCATCAGTGTGCCTGTTCTGTTCCCTGCTCTGGCTCTGGTGAATCCTCTTACCCTCCCGCGGTTCTGACTGTACCCAGTGCTTGTATAAATAAATAAATAAATAAACAAACAAACAAATAAATAAATAAATCTTTAAAAAAATAGGATGGTATATATACACAATGGAATACTATTCAGTAATCAAAGAAGATAACTAATGCCATTCGCAGCAACATGGATGGAGCTAGAAGGAATTATGCTCAGTGAAATAAGTCAGAAGGAAAAAGAAAAAAAAAAACAATGGATATTTTCACTTATAGGAGGAATATAGGGAAACCAAATAAGACATCAGGGGGGAAATAACAATACAAAACAAAAACAAACAGAAAATTATAAACCAGAGACATCCTACAGGGGAGGAGGAGGGACAAGGATTGGAGAGAGGAGGGAGGAGCATAGGGAACTGTGGTGATGGTGCATGGGTGGATTGGTGAAGGAAATTCTAGGGGGACTACACCTGAGCGGGGAGGGGAGCAAACATAGTATAAAAATGAACAATAATGTAAAATATATATAAATAAAAAATAAAAATAGAAGATAGGGGAGTATATATTGGACACAATTTGAAACAACTGGTCTTGCCTGGACCACTCCCTAAGTACAGTGCATTCTGTGGACCAAGAAGCAAATTTATCTGCTTGTAAACTCCAAGCCTGATAAGGACGACTCTGATAGTAAACACAGTTTCATCAGTGTTGTGGGGTTAGAGGTGTTGCTGGAGTGGATGGGAACCCAGAGGGAAGAATATAACACCACTGTTGGAAATTTGTCAAATGCCCGCCAGGACTCTGTCCTTTGCTTTTTTATCCTCACTCACTTGATGATCTCATCTAGTATCATGGTTTTAAATGCCACCTAAATGCTGATTCTGAAATTTTCATTTCTAATTCAGACCTCTCTGAATTCTAGACTTGTATATCCAATTATCTATTAATCTCCACTTGGATTTCTAATAGACATCTCTAGTTTGACATGAGCAAAACTTAGCTACAGATTTCTCCACCTACTCTGCTTTCAGTCTTACCCATCTCATTGTATTTCAGTTGCTCAGTCCCAAAATTTCAGAGCCATCCTTTATTTCTCTCCTCTGCCACATCTAATCTATCTAGAAAATACTATTGGCTTCGCCTTCAAAATCTGACCACTTATCATCACCTCCAGTGCTATCAAGTCTAAACCACCATCATCTCTAATCTGGAATATTGAAGTAACCCTCTAAGGACCTACCTGCTTCTATTCTTTCTCCCTTTTGGTCTATTCTCAACATAGAAGTCAGAGCAGTTCCATTAGCCCCTGAGTCAGATATGTCACTCCTCTGTTCAAATCCTTCCAATGACTCTCCACTTCAGAGTTAAAGCCAATATCCTTCCAATGCCCCACAATGTCCTACAAAGTCTGGCCCCATATTGCCTCTTTCCTCAATTTTCTCTCTCCCTTTTGCTTGCATTCCACACATCTCCTTGCTCCTTAAATAAAATAAGGAATACATCTGTCTTAGGGTCTTCCCTCCCTTAGAACGTTCCCTCTGTTTGGGATAGCTTAGATACTGCTAGCTAAGTCTACTTCTTCATATGTTGCTCAATTGCCGTCTCAATGATCTCTACCCTTAAAACTATTTCATAGTACAATCTTTCTCAAAACTAGTTCCTATCTTCCCAGCACTTCCTACCCCCCTTACCTTGCTCTATTTTTTCCTTAACATTAAGAACTACCATACCATAAAATTTACTTATTTTTCTATCTTCTTCCACTAGAATATAAATTCCAGAAGGATACGGATTTTATGTCGGTTTTGTTTGCGGCTAATACTGGTGTATGGGATGCAGCATCTAGAGTGGTGACTAGCACACAGTAGGTACTCAAATATTTGTTTAAGGAGTGAGTGAAAGGATGTCTGATAAATGAGATGAAAGGAGGTAAGCTAAAGGAAGGGGTGAAGTCCAATCAGAAGGAAGTGTCATTAGTAAAGTTTCAGAGGTAAGAAAGTAGAGCCAAATGAGGAAACTATAAGTCATTCAGTGTAACTGGAGAAATAAAATGAATGTGAAGAGGTGAGGGCATAGGTGAGGTCACCATTTTGAAGCAATTGAATGTCATGTCAAGAAACTTCAACTGTTGTTCAGGCCACTCTTCTCCAAATTTTGGAGTATATATAGGTAAGTACAAACATTGTATCATGTAACTTTATTTGTGCATTTATATACTGTATACATGTATCATTGTCAGTCTCTATATATTAAAGATCATTATCAGTAATATTTAATTCCTTATTTTTTAAAACAAAAAGTAAACAGAATTCTAATAAGTCCCCTAGCTCTGGAACATCTTACTTACATCACCTTGGAGTGATATACTTTCACTATTGCTCTGGTGAAGACAACAGGGAAACATGGAGAGGTTTAAGCAAGAGAGTAATATGGTCAAATTTTTAGAAAAATATATCTGTGGTCACTATGGAGAAGGGATTGGAAGTAAACAAGAGAGAAGCAGAAAAATTCAAAAGAAAGCACATTGACATGGATTAAAGGAATGGCACTGAGAAATGAAGAGAGTTGAGAGAAATTGTAGAGAATAGTCACAGGATTTCAGGATGGGTTGGAAGTGGTGTGAAAGGACTGTAGGGTGACTGTGTATGTCATTCATATATCTTTTCTGAAAAAAACCCTGCATAAATGGACACTCAGAGAACTGCATGTTATATAATTGAAGCCCAGAGAAACTGAGAGAACTGAGCAAAGCTCCAGAAATCTGGATCATCAGCTCAGAGTAGTAGATAGTGGTTATGACCATAGAGGTAGAGGAAGAATCCCCAGTTCAAAGCTATTATTCACAGTGTGACCTTGAACTAGGCACTATATTTTGTATGCCCCAATTTCCACATTCATCAAATGGAAATGATAACAGTATCTCTATCCCTTGAGGATTATATAAGCTAATACATGGAAAGTGTTTAGAACAGTGCTTGGTACATGGTAAGTACCTAATATTAGTTAGCATTATTTCAAGTTTTTAAATGATTGAATAGGTGACACCTACCTTTTTATCTTTGAACTCAAATACTGCTTATGCTCTAGACAAACAAAAAGATTTTTGCCAGTGCATGCCCTATGTTTTCCTATCTCTGTATCTTTATCCATGAATTCCCTTATTCTGGAATATCTTTATATCATATCACATGTACTTCAAGGTACAACACAAGGGATTCCTGCTTTTAAATTTTCCCAATTTCCCCTTTCCTAACCTTTATAACATAAATGAGCTCTCTTCCTCCAGCTTCCAGAGTACTGGAGCTTATCATATTGAACTAGTATGTCAATGTCTATATCTCCTATATTAGATCATTGATTGCTTACATGTATTTCATCTAACCAAACTTGAAATGAACACCTGCTCTATGCTATACCCTGCACTATAAACCTAAGCCAATAAAAATTCAGTAAAATTTAAATGAATTGACTAAACTGGCATCTTTCAGAGTAAAACCTAAGCTATTGGTCAACTTCATAAGCTTTTCAATCCAGTCCCTGTATTGAGTTGTCTTTGTAAACTCATAGATTGACACTCCTCTTCTCCACACCATTCCTGCTACTCTACATTTCAATAACACCTGCTTCTTGATTTGTCCCAGGCTGCTTCTTACCATCCTCCTTGCCCTTTCTTCAAGCTCTTCCCTCTGCTAGGAATACCATTTCAATTTCTTCTTTTGATGCAATACCACTTACCTTGCAGATTCAGTTCAGGTGTCACCTCCACTATAAAGCCTCTCTTGAACCCCACAGGTTGTGTTAGGCCCCTCCTCTCTATTCCCCCAACTCCCCATGCACTGTGTTTTTTGAACTTTGCTCACCCCTTTGAGTCATTGTGTCCTCTATGGCCTCCCCAGCAAAAGTGAGCTCTATGAGTCTAGGGACTATTTCTCATTCATTTATGACCTCACTATAGGGTCTAATATGCAACAGATGTTCCAGAAATATATTTTTAAACTGAATGACTTCCATTATCTCAACTTCTTCAAATCCTGGGGTTGAAGGGAGGGAGAGTACTGTAGATACCCATATTGAAGACTTACCCACAAAGTCTTCCATCATCTGAGGACTGTGGTGGGGGGAGGGTGCTAGACGCAACAGCTCCTCACCCCGGGGAACAGTTGGGTAGTTGATGGCCTGCACATAGATGTCATGTTTGGAAAGCAGGAGATCACAGACCTTACTGTTCAGTGCTGCATCACCCACCTAAGCCCAGGAGAAAAACCTGTCAGTATCTGCCAGCCTGCCCTAATATCACTGGCTCCATTAAGCAGGAGGGGGGGACTATTGTAAATCAATGAACATCACTGCATTTTGGGGCATATTTTTTCATAAAGGGTTAAGGCAATGGCAGTTTAAGAATTTCAAATGAGGGCCTCCCTGGTAGCACAAGGGATTAAGATACAGCACTCTGAAGCTATCCACAACCACTGCAGTTCAGGTGCCAGGGAGGCGACCCACATGGCGCAGCAGACCTCTCCTGACTCACCCACTGCTCCCCTCAGCAGTGTATTTCTGTCAATCTGCCTGTTCTGCTCCCCAATCTGTCTCTGGTGAATCCTCTCACCCACCCCAAACTTCTGGCCTGTACCTCAGTTCTTATATGCATAAATAAATAAATCTTTAAAAAAAGAATTTCTAATGAGAAGTTGTTCAGAGGCAGCAATCAAGTTTGAAGGGGATGGGAACTAGGGATCTTGTCTTGAAGCTGTTTGCTGAGCAAACACATTGGTTTTAATTAGCTGATATGACAATTTGGGGTGGTTCTGGGTAAGAAACCACATCTGGGATGTTGTCACTGGGTTAATTTAAAAAACAGGTATTTATAAAAGTGGTCTTGCAAGGGAATATTGGGCTAGCCCAAAGAGCAATGACTTTCTTTCTTACCCATAAAACAGTCACAAAAAAATGGTCCTTCCTACACAACACACACAAATAGATGTTATTTAAAAAGAAGTAGCAGTTCATTTTTAAGGCAATAACCACTCAGACATATTTGGGAATCCAAAACAGCAGCTAGTTCCACGACTTTTGATTTTATATTTTCTGACTTCAATTCTTAGTAATAAATATGCATTACACCATGACAATACCATACACAGATATTGGGTTGTTGGAAAAGTTACATTTTTTCTATGTTGCTCAAGCAAAAATGTGTCATGACTTTTTCAGCAACCCGATACATGTGCATATACACACATACAAAGCTGAAAACAAATTTCTCAGAATGATACCTTTACTGAGTGTTATGTACTCTAATGCTTTCTATTCTGCTTCTATTTTTTAATGTTAGTCAATAACCCACTAGACTGATTTTGTGGCCCACTAGTTATCTTGATTCACAATTTGAAAACTCTGAATTACAGGTCATCAGTAGTCAATATCATGAGGGTGAGGACTGTCTAATAAGCATGAGATAATAGCTATGCAAGAAAAATGATAATCTAGAATGACTGATAATTTTTCAAAAAGGTAACAAAGTTAGGAATAAGGAAAATGTTTGACAAGAAAGCAGAGTTGATGATAGGAGCAGGTGTTTGTTGCTGAGTGTGGGAAGTCCCACAGAAGAGAAAGCTTGGGAGGGCAATGGGCAGGCTGGGGCTCACCCGGATGGGAATGATGTGACTTGGGCAGGGGATAACAGGAAAGCCTTTGTCCATTAGTAGCTGACGCATGTGCTTCACATTGCGCTGGTGGGCCCGCCTCAGGGCTTGACCCTCCTTTCCCTTGAGGAGCCGCACAGATTCCAGAGCCCCAGAGAGCACCATGGGGGGCAGTGAAGTAGTAAAGATGAAGCCGGCCGCATAGGAGCGCACCATGTCCACCAAGTCACGGGTGCTGGCAATATAGCCACCTACACAGCCAAAGGCCTTGCCTGGATATAAGGAGAAGAAGGACCCCATATCAGTTCCCAGAGGAACAGGATCATGCCCCAGGTAACACCAGGAGGTGTACCAGGAGCTAGGACTCCAGACTCCCTTCCCAGGCCTCTGCCCATCTCTCCTGTCCATGACAAGACAGACAAATCTGATAATTCTGCTGCCATATGCAAAGATTAGATAGGCAGTAGTTGGGTGGGGACCTTCAGCTGGTTAAGGCCAAAGATGGTGCTGAGATGAAGCTTGGAACTGTTGTGAGGGGATGGAACATTTAAAACTACAACTCTTCACTTACTGAGTTGAACCTGGCTATTTGGCCCAGCTCAGGGGTCTTTTCAAAAAAACCTCCCAGATTTTCTCAGAAACTCTGCAGTAGGGAGGTCAGCAGCCAGGAGCTGTGACTTCAACCTAAACAGCTCCTGCAGGTTTTGTGGTGGAGGAAGAAAATAGTCTTGCACGGGCTTCCTTTCTGAATTGCACATAAGGGTGCACCAACAAACTAACTTACCAAGAGTTCCAGAGATGATGTCAATCTTGTGCATAATTCCATCACGCTCCCCAATCCCAGCTCCTCGGAACCCATACAGTCCTACAGCATGAACCTCATCCACAAATGTCAGAGCACCATATTGGTGGGCCACATCACATAACTCTTCGAGGGGACAGATGGCACCTGAGCAAAACCAAGGAATAGTGTTAGGAGATCATAACTGTCCCTCTGCTCAATCTCTAGCACAAAATTTGGCGCCCATTAGAAATTGGGAAGGGTGTGCACCCTCAGTTGGGACTATTCCAACCCTTCACTCCACTCCTACCCAAGGAGTATGTGTTTCCCCCAGCCTGTTATTGAAGCTTATCCTTTCTTCCTTCCTCCCTTCTTCACTCCCCTCCTCTCTCCCCCTCCCTGTGTCTTTCCCTTTCTCCCTTTCTCCTTCCCTCCCTACCTCCCTTCCTTCCTCTTTTTGTACCATTTTCCAACCTTTCTCTGCTTCCTTTTTTCCCCTTTAAGTCTGCATATTTCAATGTAGGGTTGGCGCTAACCTGAATGATAGCTTTGTTTAAATAAATTGGAAATAAAGTCACGTTTTCCCCCAGGTTAATGCAGTCTTGATTTCAGATCCCACTCACTGCTTCAGCCAGGTACTTTTGGCACCCCTGTCACTTTTCACCAGTCTTTCCCATTTCTATCTTTCTGGATTTCTGCCACTATCTCTTTTTGTGGTCATTTCTATCTTTGCTTTTATGTCTCTGTTTTTCTTTTCTGTTTTTGTTTTTCCTCTTACTTTCCCTTTCCTTCCTCTCTGGTTCTCTCTCCCCTTTCTATCTACCTCTGACTATCTTTCTGCTCCAGACTTTTTTTTTCTCTGTATCTTTATACCTCTTTCTAAGTTTATTTGTGCCTCTGTCTCTGTCTTTTTTGTCTCTGTGGGAGTATTTCTCTCTTATTTCTGTCAGTGTTGGCACACTCCCACAGGCTTAGTCTCAATCTCCTGAATTAAAGTGAATTAAAAATATATTCCTCTCCATTTTTTCCATACCAATTTACCCTTTTCCCCATGTTATTCCAAATACATTCTATGCTGATAGCTGCTTATAAGGTCTTCAAATGACAGTAAACCTCATATATAGGCTTTGTGACCATTATGTATATATAAAAAGCCACACTTTCTGCATTTCCCCATACTTGGCAATTGATGAAGAATGGGAAGCTTGAATATAGAAGAAACTTATTCAGGTGGAAACAGGGCTCCAGGCCAGAATTAGAAAATATGAGCAATTGGAGTGACAGCATTTGGGGAGCCAAGAATAAGTAGAGCCTGAGACAGAAAACAGTGTATATCTCAAGCATCATTTCAATGGGAGAAATTCATTACCAGGACTGATAGTTTATGCAGAGTTTCTACCAAAAACATATATTTCCACCATTTATTTGCAAGGAAATAGAAAAGCCCCAACATGTTTTCCACCAATGAAATAATAAATTAGTCTCAGTGGTAGAAATATGATCATATAATATTTTATTACTATTTGTATAAATGTGAGAGTGGGCGTGGCAATAAGTTCTTAGCACATATTCATTCATTTAATTCTCACAACCATTCTGTTACCATCACTTCCATTTTCCAAATAAGGCAACTGAGGTAGAAAAATTAAGATACTTGCCCAGGGCCTCCCTGGTGGCACAAAGCTCTGTGAAGCTATCCGCAGCCACAGTAGCACAAGTTCGATCCCCGGTAGGCCAGCGAGCAACCCACATGGCACGCCTGACCTCTCCTGTCTTGCCCACTGCTCCCCTCAACAGTGTATTTCAGTCAGTCTGCTTGTTCTGTTCCCCGTTCTGTCCCAGTGAATCCTCTCACCCCTGTACCTCTGGCCTGTACCTCAGTTCTTGTATGCATAAATAAATAAACCTTTAAGAAAAAGAGAGGGCTTCCCTGGTGGCACAAGGGGTTAAGAAGCAACCCATGAAGCTATCCGCAGCCACTGCAGCACGAGTTTGATACAGGTAGCTGACCCACATGGCGCAGCAGACCTCTTCTGACGCGCGCACTGGTACCCTCAGCAGTGTATGTCAGTCGATCTGCCTGATCTGTTCCCCACTCTGTCTCTGGTGAATCCTCTACCCTAATTCTTGTATGCATAAATAAATAAATTTAATAAAAGAAAGAAACTTGCCACCTAGTAAGTTGTCAAGCTGATATTTGAACATGGATAATCTGATTCAACTGATGCTGATGACATTGACTAAATCAGGGAATGCTATGCACTCTCCTTTTTTTTTAAGTTGGAAAAGAGACAAATTGAAATGGAAGTGAAGACCTCTTTCCTTCAACAATGCCTAAGAGACATGCCAAAGAAGTAATGCCTAAGACATGCCTTAGGTAATGCCTAAGAGACATGCTTTCTGTTCAAGAGGTGCAACAATAGAATGATTTGGGCATTGTTTCAGTTGGGGGAAGAAAAGAGGTGGAAGACAAAAGTCATTTACTTTTACTTAGATTCTAATAAATGTAATAACTTTTGTCATCTGTAATTCTTACAACCACAAGTTTTACTTTGGGGAAACAGGATCCCAGACAATGGTTTGTGAGGTTTTCTATTGCAGAAAGTAAACTCTGGAGATTGATTTGAACATCGTTTCTAATGGAGGGAGTATTGTGTGAAGGAATTTGAATTACACATCCTAGGATGCAAGTAATCACTTTGGCACCAATGTACACCAATGTACAAATTGGGTGCTGTAATTGAACTTTATTTTCTTAAGCTGTAAAATCAACATAACAGCTGCCTCCATCCTTTGGATTTGCTGACTGTGTGACCTGGGGCAAGTTACTTTACTGGTTTGTGTCTCAGTTTCCTCATGTGAATGAAGAGATAATAATACCATTTGCCTCACAGATTAAGTGAAATGATATATGTTAGCTACTAATAATTTTGCTTGGCACATAATAGAAGTGCTCTGTAAATGTTAGTTATTATCATTGTGACTTTTGTAAGGCCAATATTAGTAAACATATTCACACATATACATACCATCCATGGAGTGAACAGTCTCAAAGGCCACAATTTTGGGTGTCTTAGGATTAGACTTCATTAGCAGTTTCTTCAGGTGGTCAGGATCATTGTGCCTGAAGACAAACTTGACAGCTCCACTGTTGCGGATACCTTGGATCATTGAAGCATGGTTGCCTGCATCTGAGTAAATCTCACACCCTGTGGAACCAGATGCATAATTATTCTAAGCTACTGTCCATGTATTCCCACTTCAAACTCAAGATAGACCTAGTAGGAGCAGAGAGCCAACAATGGCCTGAAATCAAGAAGATGCTACTCTGCTTCCCTCCCCTCTGGAAGCTTTTGTGACACTTCTTCCTCTCTTGGAAGAACTCCCCTGTCCTGAAATTCTGACCCCTAACCCTTGTCTCCAGTCATTTCTAATCCTGATCAGGCCTCTGGATATTTTGTGTTTGAGGAGATTTTCATTTTCCAAGAAGCTCTAAAGTTTCCAAAGGACAGGGCTTAAATTCCTTCTCCTAGACACATAAGATTGAACCTCAGAAAACAGTCCCCCCCCCCGGGAATGCTTGTAGACTTGAACTGATGCTAGATTTTTCTTGACCTGAATAAACTTCCAACTCTTATAGGTAGTATTCCTCTAATAATAGTTACAGGGTGAATATTTATCATACTTTCACAGTTTGAGTCATAAGCTAATGGCATGTCATAGTTGACAGCACTGTTATTGACCATGAAATTCAGCCCCATTACTGTACAAGTGAGGAAAGTAAGGTCCAGAGAGGAGATTAACTTTGTCTAGGACCAGGCATTTCTAGGAGAGCCAGTGGACATTGGAATCTGGTGGAAGGCAGTGATTACTAGCCCCTCAAAATTTCACTAACATCTGGGAACTGTGGCCTTTCATTAGAATAAGTGATCCCTTGTATCTAAGGAAATTAGGTATGGCTTCCTGGAGGATCTAGGTTTAAGGATAGGTAGATTGGAAGTTTATTGAGAACAAGAGCTACATTGAAAAAATAATCTTTCTGCCTCTTGTACCAAGCATAAGGCTATGTACACAGTAGATACTAAGTAAACATTTCTTGAGTGAATGTACAAATAAACAACTTGCTAATAGGAGAGTGAAGGAATATATTACTGGGTAAAAGAGCAAGAAGAAGGTTCAAAAGATGAAGCTGAAGAGGTAGCTAGAAGTCAGATAATTGAGGGCTTTACAGATCACCATGATGAGTTTAGATTTGAGATTAAGGGTAATGGAAATTTATTAAAGTGTTTTGGGTAGAGGAATAACAAGAAATGTTTGCAATTTTATTTTTATGTTTACATATTTTAAATATTCTAACTGCTGTAAAGAATAGATTTTGGGAGGACAAAGATGAAATCAAGACAGTGATGTTTGTTTATACTAGAATGGTAACAGTGGGAATTAAAAGAAGTTGAATTCAAGTGGTTGAGGAGGGGGTTCACTGAGAAAACTCCTAAAGATTTTGGATTCAGTTGGAATTATGTTTGACTTCAGAAAAATTCAAATTAGCAGTTTATTTACAGTGGATGTTTACAGTGTACTGAGGAATCAGCAAGAAGTGAGGAAGCAGGTGGAAAGTTTCTCTCAGTTTGCCTGTTATAATCAAGATCAAGAGAACAGTAGGTAGAGAGTGATGAGGAGAAATGGTTTTTTGAGACACAAACATATTGAAGATACAGAAGAGATAGGGAACTGAAAGATCAACATTCCTGAGAAGGTAGAGGGGCATAGAACACAGAATATTAACTGAAGGATTAGTCAACAAGAAAGAAGGCACCTCTTCCATTGTGACAGGAGAGAAGTAAGGAGGAGATGACATGTGGGAATGCTTGCAAGTTTATGGCATGGAGTTGAAGATATTGTTGCCTGTGTTCTATTTTTAGTGCAGTAGGAGGTGAAGTCATCTGCTATTGGTGAGGTGGAGTGAGGTGAAGTGGAAGTGTGGTAAGGCTGAAGAGAAAGGGATTTGGTAAAGCTTCCCTGGAGACTTGGAGAACTAGCCATGGAGATAGGATTGCTAGACAGCATGAAGGACCCAATTATATAAGCCCAGGATTGAGATAGAGAAGGTGGAGAGTTATATTCATCTTGAGGCTCAAGCTTTGATGGAAGAACACCGACCATGAATTGAAGGCAATATTGGCTAGAGGGAGAGAGTGGGAAGATGGAGTCCAAAGGGGATCCAATATATAAGAGAAGGGATTAGCATTAGGCAGGAGACATGTGCATTCTGCTGTAAGAAGGAAGAATTGAAGAATGACAGACAGATAATCAGATAAGTATATAGGTTTGGTGGTTGTAAGTTAAAGTCATTCCTGTCTTGTTGATTCTATTTTCTGTGTGATGTAAGATTTGAAGTTCTTAGCTAAGAGTGAAGGAGGAAGTAGTCAGAAGTTTTAGAAGGGAAAAGAAATTTCGAAAAAGCTGGTATGGAGACACTGATGCACTAATTATGAGTATTTAAAGTCCAGTTGAGTTGGAAGGTGATACAACTCTGTGAGATTGGCCAATATTCCTCAGCAGTGGTCTTTAACTTATGTGCAGAAGGGAAGAAAGCATAAGGATGTAATCATCCAGTGTTTGAGGATACATAGGTGAGTAAAAAGGAAGGGCAATGGGAACAAGTGAACTCAGAATAAAAAGGAGTATTGAAGGCAGTGCCATTGAATGCTGTAGTGTAGGTTACCCACCCTGAACAAATCTCAGGATCCAGGCTTACCTGGCAGGATTTTTGCTAAGGTGAAAAGAGTAGAGTCATTGGCCACAAAGCAGGAGGAGAAGAGCAGGGCTGAGTCTTTCTGGTGCAGCTCAGCTAGCTCCTGCTCTAACTCCACATGAAACTTGCTGGTACCTGAGATGTTGCGGGTACCACCAGCTCCAGCTCCATGACGCTGCAGGGTCTCCCTGGCCAAAAGAAAACAAAGAAGACAAGAAGAAAGAATGTTTGTTAGACACAGAAATTATGTGGGTAGGTTTCTCTCTTTTTATTTTTTAAAGTTATTTTTATTTTTTTATATCATTGTTCATTTTTAAACAATAGTTGCTTCCCCCCACCACCTCAGGTGTAGTCCCCATAGAGTTTCCTTCACCAATGCACCCTGCACCATCACCTCAGCCCCCTGTGACCTCCCTCTCTCCCTTTGATCCCTCTCCTTCTTCCCCTGAAGTATGTCTCTGATTTATAATTGTCTGTTTTTGCTTTGTTGTGTTTTGTACTGTAATTATCTTTTTGCACTGATATCTTATTTGGTTCCCCTATATTCCTGCTATAAGTGAAACCATCTGATATTTTTCTTTTTCCTTCTGGCTTATTTCACTGAGCATAAATCCTTCTAGCTCCATCCACATTACTGCAAATGGCATGAGTTTATCACAAAAATATACAAAAAACTCACATGACTCAACAAAAAACAAAACAAGCAATCCAGTCAAGAAATGGGCAGAAGAACTTAAATGACATTTCTCTGAAGAGGAAATGCAAATGACTAATAGGCATATGAAAAAATGTTTAACATTCCTTTTAATCAGGGAAATGCAAATCAATACCACATTGAGATACAATCTTACACAAGTAAGAATGGCACATATCAAAAAAACTAGCAACAACAAATGTTGGCGAGGATGTGGTAAAAAAGGAACTCTCCTACATTGCTGGTGGGAGTGAAAACTGGTCCAACCACTATGGAAAGCTGTCTGGAGTCTATTAGAAATGGAGCTACCATATGACCCGGAAATTCCACTCCTAGGGATCTACCCAAAGGACGCAAAAACATTGATTCAAAAGACCACCTGTACCCCTATGTTTATTGCTACACTATTTACAACAGGTAAAAGCTGGAAACAACCCAAATGCCCAAAAATAGATGACTGGATCAAGAGGATGTGGTATATATATACACAATGGAATATTATTCCGCAATCAAAAAAGGTTTCTCTTTCTTAATGGTGGTCAGTGTTGATTAAGTGATTCTGTATGAGCTGTATGTGACCATGGAGAGGACAGTATAGGGAGGATGGGGTTATTTTCACCCTCTTTCTCAGTCTGAAGGCACTCAAGGATGGAGGGAGAGGCTAGGTTACACTTGAGCAGCCTGGAAGGCCCTTTAGAGGAGGTCACACACCATCTCTGGCGATACTCATCTTATAGCCAGAGTAAGAACTTATGAAAAGTTTTTCTTACTTTGTCTTCTATATTCTCCACATCACTGGATACTCAATAATTTGGAAAATGTGGTTTGTCGACTGACTGAGGAATAGACATGCCAGAAGACCTTTGACAAAAGGGGTGGTGGATGGAACCCAAGTTTCCACTGTCAGTTCTTTCTTTTCCTTTCACATGTGACTTTGTTTCTTCTCTGGATGTGTCACCCTAGTTCATGGCCCAGACCCTGCTACGTACTGTGTGGCCTGTAAGACCCGTGGGTGCCGACTCATGCCCAGATAGTCATTACTGCACCAAACAGACACATCCTTTGAGGTCACAAATGCCTCAGAGAAGTGTTGAGCAAAGGGGTATGCATGAGCCCAGCGGTTTACGGTCTTGAACACACGGTAGGTGTGGTCTTGCTTCTTCTCTGCGATCTTGTCCCTGAAAAACTGTTCATAACCAAAGACATTTTTTCCTGCAGGAATAGAGATGAGAATGAAAAGAATGCATTTTAAAACACTTCCTGGCTAGTCCATATTTTATTAATGTTAATTTTGAGTTCTCTGATTCTTTCCACTTATTCATTTATTTGATATGTCATTAACTTATTGGGGCACAATAAGTCCTCACTGTTTCATTCAACCATACTTTTGCTTACTCATTCATTCATTCACTAGGCAATTTTTTCATATATTTACTCAGGTTTTCCATTCCTGGCATGGCTTCCATTCCTCTTCTTAAAGCTAGTGTAGCAGCCTTCTGAATGGAATCATTATTTTCTGTTTTATTGGAAAAGATTGTCAACAGATGTAGTTTCCAGTCATTGATTTGCTGCCTAATTGTGTGACCTTGAGCAAGTCATGAATCCTCTCAGTTTTAATTTTCTCATCCATACAATGGGGCTAATAATGTCTTCCTTGAAGAATTGTAAGCATCTGATGACAAACAGAATGTAATACACCAAAACCAATGCTTGACATAGAGTATAGTATTAGTAATATTCTTATGATTAAAGTAATCACAATAGTAATAATAGCTAATGTTTAATTATACTATAATAGCCAATATTTAGTGAGTGCCTATTACATGTAATACCCTCTCTTAGGAACTTTATAGATATTATTTCATATATTCCTCACAACAATCTTATTTGGAAAGTTCTGCTAGTGTACCCATTTTACAGATGAGGAAATGGAGGCATAGAAAGGTTAAGTAACTTCACCGAGTTCATGCAGATAAACGCATCCTTTATATAAGTGTCCTACAAATAAGTGACATAGAATTCACTGCTTTAACTGCTACTGTTATAAAATGGAGCAATCCTAGTTTCAGGAGCAATTGAAATAATGTGTGCCAAAGGGTTTGCTTAACTCTAGAACTCATGATTGTTGCAGATGAAAACTTACATGGTAGGGGTGTACATTGGTAACATCTTTGCTGCAGGGATGTTTGTAAATATGAATTAAGAGTTTTTAAAAGTATATATTAACATACCTGGAGAAATATTTGTAGAATATTTAAAATAAGTATTTGATATCTATAATTTATTTTAAAACAACTCTGAAAATTTACCATGAAAAATTTTTCAACCCAATAGAAAAATGGGCAAAGAACGCAAACAATTTAACAAATGTAGAAAAAGGTGTTTAATCATGGAAAATCTAACTTCAAAAGCAAATTTCATCCATCAAACTGATAAAGATTCAAACCTTTGATATCAAGTGCTGCAGAGGATGTCAGAATATGTTTACTCTCTTTGATAACTGGCACAACCACTTTGGAGCTACAATTGGCAATATTTATTTGTTAATATTAAAGTATACATACCTTTACACCTGAGGATTTCCATTTTTCACAGTCTAGCCTAGAGAAATGCTTATCTATGTGATGAGGGTTACATTGTTGTACCACTGTTTGTAATATGAAAAATTGGATGCAAATCCATAGAGAAATAACTAAACAATCTCTAATATATCCATACTAAGACTAAGATAACACTGTATATTATATTTGGGTACTTTTATGCGTATATAAAATCAACATACAGTATGAACTGAAGAACATGAACAAAAATTTGGAAACAATAAAATAAATTCTAGGTTCTTGATTAACTAAACAGTAATACTTCATACCATATAACACATCTTCAACCATTAATAATTATTATATAATTAAGGACATGGAATGATGCACATGACATATTAAGAGAACAAAGCACAACAACAAACTTCTGGTGGAATAAAATCATATTTTTAATAAGAACATGTGTATCAGTGGGAGTGGTGGAGTATATATATATGTGTGTGTCTGTCTGTTTGTACAAGCATTTAGTGATAGGAAAATATTTGAAAGAAATATAACAAAAATTTAATGGTGGATGATGGAACTTTGAGTGATTTAAATTTCCATCTTTATACTGTCCTGTAAGTACTGAAAATATTTTGTAATATATTGGACTCCTTTTATGTTAGGAAAATAAAAAAAAAGATGAATATAAGCACACAAGAGAGACAGGAAAATCCTCTCTATGAAGGATGAGATTTTTTGAGTGAAGTGTGAAGAAATAATAGGATAAAACAATGTTTGATGAGGCATCTCATAACAAGCTATTAACACTTCCATAAATGTAATTGCATTTCTTTCTCATGATAACCTGTTGAAGTAGGTGTTAAAATCTCATGGAAAGGAAATGACTTACTTGCCAAAGCAGTCATATCTAGCAAGTGCTAGCATTATGATTTAAACCCAGATCTCCTTTGGTTACAAAGCACATCCTTGCTATTTTCTCCTATGTCAGAAGCTCTTTCAGCATTCCTTCCCTATTTTTATCCTATTTATTTCTACCTCAGCAAATCCATTAGCCATGTTTTTCTGAATCAGGTGGGTGAACTTCTCTGAAGTTTGCTCTGGCCCCTGGGGAGTGGAGAATGGCTTTTTTGGGCTGGTTGAAGCTAGGGATCTAGGCAGCACTGAGGAGGAGTTGAAATTCATTGGCTATGAAGACAGAAGGATAGAATAGAAAGCATATGCTGTCCTCTTTAAACTCAATATAACATGTGCAAATTCAAGTTTATAAAGTAGGGAAACTTTCTTCAGAGAGAAGTAACTTTCTATAAATTAAGCCTCCACTTACCCCAAATGTAAGGAAAACCTCTATACTTCATTTCACTAGAACTGTCCCTTGGCAGAGTGGCAGCCACTCTGGGTTTTACATTTGAAAGGTAGATACAGGGTAGCTACTGCACCTTATTTTTTTTCTTTTGAATATCATTAAAATTAAATTCTGAATTTTTCAGACTGAATGATATCCTAAAAGGGTCTATGGAAGATGTCAAAAATATAGTCATCTTTCAAATGTGATAATCTCAAGTGTTGTTCATCAGTTGAGCTGATATGGGGCTCTGTACCCATCCAAAGGGTATGTTTTCTTTCAACACTTCCTCTTTCATGAAAATTTAGATTGTCATAGAGTGGTATTGCTCAAATATGGGAGCCTAGCCTACTAGGGCCCATTCTGCCACTTGGGTAAAAGCAGGCAGAACTCTGGAGTGTTCATTTTAGATTTATGGGTAAAATTGCAGGAGCCTATGCATTTGTGTGCTTTGGGGAGGGTTCATCTCACTGCATGGTATAAGCTATTGTCTGTCATGTTTCCCCTGGAAATATCTAGACTTCTTACCACAGAATGTGTACTAGCTGTCCTTGGATTAACCTAGCTCAGGTCTGTGAAGAAGTGGGTTCAAGCATTAGGAGCAAAGAATGGATGAAGTGGAACCTGACTCCAACCTGTCTTGAAAGTCTTCACATCCTCCTGTACTTCAGGAGCTGCCTTCTGCACAATCTTGCTCTTCCCATCCTGGAGTTCTGATAGCATGAATGGACACTGACTGTTAGCCCAAGATGGAGAGTCTATGCAAAGGAGAGAAAGTAAGTGGCAGTACCTTTCTGTTCATAAGTTCAGTTTAACAATGCTTGCTGATACCTAAAGCTCTATCTCAGGACCTGGTAGAAACATAGGAATGGATGAATCTCGTGCCTGTGCTAGGGGAGATACTAACCTGGTGCAAATGATACATGCTAAAGATACATTATGAACAATAATGGAATTCAAGGGAGGATACTGGCTATGGAGGTCTAGAAGGGAGAGGGAATCTGGCCCAGAAATAGTATTGGACAAACTAGAGGTCTAGGTAAGCTTCACAAATGAAATGATGCACAATGTAAGTAAGAAGCATGAGATATTTATAAAGGGCAAAGGCATAGAAGCTTTAGACAGTAAATTTGTTCCAGGTAATTTTAAGCAGTTTCAGCATAACTGAAGTGAAGAATATGAGGGTCATGAGAGTGAGACCACTTCTAGAGATACTGACAAAAGTCAGATTTGAGGTATATGTCTTTCAGCTGGGCCTTAACCCAGCTCATTCTGCCTTGAAACTTTTCACAAGAATCCTCCCATTTATTAGGAAATGACGGCAAGTATGACTTGTAACATTGTCTTCAGGACCCAGACATTCTCCATCACTTGCCATCAGCCTCTTCTTACCTCCTCCAGACTTAGTTGACTTTAAATGAATGTGAGAAAAAGTTGGTCGTTGGGTAGCCAGGATGGGACAGCCTCCAATACCAAACAGGAACTGGTGAGCCTTAATTACCTTGCCCAGGAGGCCTGTGTGGCCCCGGACATACACTGGGCAGCACTGTAACAACATGGCTGCTGCCACCATTTTGAGCCCAAAGTCCTGCAGAAGATATGAAAGAAATATTTCATGATGATGGCCTGGACAAAAGTCAAGGGTCTTTCCTGTGTTTGATCTTTTCCTTATAGTTTCCCTCCCAATCAATGCTTGCTGCCCTCCTCACAGATGCCCTTATTGTCATTCCAGGGTAAGAACTTTTCCAATGCTTAAATGTATCAATCAGGTGTTAGAGAGGATCAGAGAGTCAGAACACCTGAATTCTGACTCAGATTTTGCCATTGGCCCATTCTGTGATGGTGAGGATGATGGAAGTGTGATTGTGGCAGGATGAAAGTTGACAACCTGTCAAACCTTTGGTCAACATGTAAGGCCAAGGATCTTTCTATGAATACCAATATTTCTAAGAATATTGGTCTCAGTCAAGAGAAGATTCAGCTTGCTAATGCAGACAGATATCATTCACCAGAGCTCTTAAGGCTCTGTCCAAAGTGTTTTCTGAGCAGGTCACAGCCTGAGGTCACAGGTACCAGCTTAAGTAGAATAGCTGGACCTTATTGAAGATGTATTTCTATGTCTTTGCATTTAATCCTGACTTAAGGAAAGTACAGGTAGAAGAAGGAAGTAAAAACAAGGCACTGGAAAACAAGTCTATTAGCGAATGAAAAAAAGGTAGAGACAAAAAAGAAAGAAAAGGTGGAGAATAAGACAGAAGAGAGAAAGGGAAAAGAGAATATTGGGGACTCTCTGGTGGTGCAAGGGGTTAAGTGCAACACTGTGAAGCTATCTGCAACCTCTGCAGCACAAGTTTGATCCCTGGCCAGCCAGAGAGCTACCCATATGGCTCAGACGTCTCCTGTCACACCTGCTGCTCCCCTCAGCGTGTATTTCAGTCAATTTCCTGTTCTGCTCCCCACTCTATCTCTGGTGAATCCTCTCACTGCCCTTACCTCTGGCCTGTACCCCAGTTCTTGTATGCATAAATAAATAAATCTTTAAAAAATGAGATCAGGTAAAAATAAACCAAATATACATATTAGGTATTTAATTGGGAGTACATAAATGAATAACAAGAGACCCATATGGAGGGGAAAGGATGATAATAAAGGAAGAGTAAGAAGAAAATATAAATTAGGAAAGGTAAAAGGAGGAATGTGAGAGAGAAGAACAAAGGTGCACTGGTAGTGATATAGTTAGAATAGAAATTGCTAGTAAGAGATCAAAGACAGGGAAAGGGGAAACAGGGTAGAGCTAGGAGCAGAGAAGGAGAGGACTGATCCAGGAACACAGAGGCACAGAGGGCAAGAGGTTTAAAAAAATGCAGAAGGATAGGGAATGAGATTGAAAAGAGATGTGTGTGTGTGAGAGATGAGAGAGAGGAGGGGAGGAAGGGAGAGAGAGAGGAGATATGAGAAGGGAAGAGGTAGAAACAGAGAAACAGAGGGACACAGAAGGACATGAGGAAAGATCAATATATAAAGACTCAGAAAATTCAGGGGAGGCAGAGAGTCATCCAGGCACAATTATGAAGAAGAAATGCTGCTTAGAGTTTTTTGGGGTAAGGGAAAGAACAAAGAAGAGTTAGGGGAAGAAGAGCATGGCCATTTTGAGGGGGACGAGAGAGAGAGACTGGGTGATAGAAGGCAATAGAAAAAAGATCAGACGACAGAAACAGAGAGGTCACTATGTTGGTGGTGGTTGTGGGTTGGAATGAGGGATGTCTGAGAGATACAAAGAGGAAAACAGAAAGAATGAGAGTGAGAAACATATTAAGTGAAAAAGAGCTAACAGGAGATCAAGCATCAAAGGTGAGGCAAGACAAACTCTTGCCATTTATATCAATGTGGATGGAAATGGAGGGGATCATGCTAAGTGAAATAAGTCAGTTAGAGAAAGACAAACACCATGTGGTGTCACTTGTATGTGGAATATAGAGAAACAAAACAAAAGATGAAATTAAGTCAAACCAATAGCAAACCCTACACATCTGCCTGTAGAACTGGGGCTACTAGTGTGGGAAGGGGAGGGGAGAGAACAAAGTGGGGAGTGAGCCAAATAGACTGTGGTGGAGGACTATGGTGTGTTGGTGGTGGGTGTGGGGTGGTAACAATACCTGGAAGGGGAGAGCCTATACCTCTAAATCACAACGTTATAAACCAAGGTTACTCCCATTTAAAAAAATAAAAAGATATGGGACAGGACAATGGGAGAGATATGGAGGGATGTGGGAAGACTAAACCCCTGGCATCACTAGAACTACCAAGTAGAATCTAGTAGCATCTCCAGTATGTGGGGCCTTATACTGTGAAGGACAATGAATAGGAGCAACTCCTGACTGTGTCTTAATATGACCACATCTTTACCTCTTGCATAGCAACATCACCTCCTTTCCATATCTCACAGAGCAAGAAACCTCCCCCATCTCAAAAAAACAAAACAATCTCTTCCCCTGTTGCATCCAAAAACATCCTCCCTTGAACTCTCAAGGCTTCATTTGCTTAATTTGCTATGTGGGGTCAGGGTGTGCGGCCCTGAAATTAGTAAAGGTCAAGAGGTAACTGAAAAATTAAATGACACTCATGTTAAGCCTTTAGGACAGTGCTAGGTACATGGTAATTTTCCAGAAGTTAGCTTTTTAAATTTCAATTCCCTTCCAATTCCCTTTCAGATGCTCTTGAAAAGTCACTTTCCCTCTCTGGTCTCAGCTATGCTTACCTCATGTGGTAGGTAATGAATTGGCTCCATTGCCTCCCTTGTATCTGGACATAAGAGTTTCCCTTACCCAACCTGCCTGCAAGGACTAAAGTGCATGAGACTGAGTCTGTACAACACAGATAAAGCTCCCATAGCTTATCTCTACTGTGGTTTAACCACTCCCCACGCTGAGACCAGGGTGTGAGAGAAAAGAGGAGCTCCTTCCTGGAATCTTGTCTGAGCATCTGCCTGGGGCTAACCCTGCCTATTGATGGTGAGGAAGAGGCAGGCAAGGCAGATGGCCATGTTTCAGGTTCCTGCACACTCCTTTCTCCACATCAATGCCTATAACAATAATGATGAAATTGGCATATATAGCGGTAAAGGAAGTTTCTAAGGTCAGAGGCAAAGTCCAGTCATGCCTTTGGATGATGGTGGATTAAAGTCTATTCCCACACTTATATATACACAAATGGAAGAAATTCAATATATTCATCATCTCTAAGGCACTTTTTACCATGGTATTTTCAGAGATCTGGGAAAGTAGAAAACACTTGGATTTGTTGAATTACCAAGTTCTTTTAAGCTCCAGTCACTACTTCTCCTGTTCTGATACTCCTTTCCTGGAATTTGCCCTGCTTCACTGCCAGTCCATCTTTTTGACCCACAACCTTATAGTCTAGTTCCTTAGGATCTGTTTCCATTCCATCCTACTACCTACCATGAGATTGGAGTGAATAATACTAAATCAAAGAAGTGTTTTGTCAACTTAGGGTATTTAGAGCATAAGTTCTAGTGCCAGAGAGCTTGGGTTTGAATCCTGTTTCTATCTTCTCTCTAACTCTGGAACATTGGAAAAGTACATCTCTGTTCAATGCCTTGTATCTGTAAACCATAGATAATAACAAAGACAATCTACTTCACAGGGATGTTGTAAAAATTCAGTAAATTAATCCACATAAACTATATAGAAGGACTCCTATCCCAGAGAAAACACTGAAAAAGTGGTAGCTGTTATTTTTTATTTTCTACATTTCTGTATAGTGAAAGTGAAGGTAAAGCCAAAGAGAAGCATATTAAAAATATACTAGATCATATATATATATTCAAAAATATATGTAAAGCTGGTTCCTGTCTCAACTCTGATTTTTGCCCTTATCTTGTGATAACTTATTATGTGAACTTTGGCTCTGTACTTTCCCCTGTGGGCCTCAGTTTCTCTACAGACATTGGTGTACATAACATCATAGATTCTTTATGGTTCTGATTGTCAAAAAATATCATAGTGCTCAAATGCCAGACCCCTTATAAATACTTCACCTGCATTGACTTAATTAATTCTCATTAAATCCACAACAACGTGATGAGATAAAAATTGATAAAAACTTTATTTCAAAGATGAGGAAACTGAGGGCCTAAAAAATTAAGTTACATGTCCAGGTCACAAAACTAGTAAGTAGGAGAACCAGGGTTTTAATTTAGGCAGTCTGACTCTAAAGTTTACTAACTTAACAATTATGTATGATTCAAATAATACCATATATTTTCTTCACTGAGAACCTGACTTCAGACATCATTTCCCTCTGCTGTACTAATAGGCCTCTTCTGAGATATTTGATTCTGGATTATGACCAATGCCTTTACCAAAGCAACACATTTCTAGCTGAAATAAAATGTCAGACACTGATGAACATTCATTCATTCCATTAAACTAAGAAGTTATGCATTCATAGTGTGGCAATCTTTACGAGGAGTTTTAAAACTATGATGTTGGTGAATTTCAGGCCAAGTGACAGATTATTTCCTCTGCACATTAAAATCTTCTCTTGATTGGTATCATTCTGCAGCCCCAGTGATCAGAACTCTACCACAACAGATAGTCATAAACTATTCATTATACAATTCCTTTCCCTTCTATTCCCGTTGTGGCCTGCTTGCAAGATACAGTTTGGTCTGCAGGGGATGTGGTAATTTCTCTTGAAGAGTTGGAAGCATCAGATCTTCCCTTCCTAGCACCCTTTCCCCATCATGGAAGAATCAGAGAATTTTAGTTACCTGGAATCTAAGAATCATAAGATTTTAGTGACAGAAAAAAAATAGAAGACCATATAATCAAAATTGCAAGAAGTTGTGAAAATCATATGACAAACCCTTTTATTCAGAGGGTGAATGACTTGCCTAGGGTCTTGCAGTCAATTAAGGTGAGACTATAAATCTAATTTTAGGATAAGTTTTTTCCATGACAAAGCATCCCTTTTATACTTTCTCCCCTTATTTGTTCTAATTATTAATCTCTCAATTCATTCAAATTTCTTCCTACCCAGTCCATAATTCTCATTCTCTAAGTTTGCACTCCCTACCTCTGACTTGTTGAATTCTGCTGTAGGGAGACCAGAGAGAAAGAGTCCAAGTGAGGGAGGAATGGAAAATTGCCATAAGAAGTATCAAGACATCTCCTTAGGAGACAGGGGAGAGGAAGAGAGACAGACAGACAGAAGTGAGTGATCTTGAAAACTAACAAAGTAGAGGAAACAGGGGAAAGGGCAAAGGAAAGCAGAAAACAGGGAAAGACAGGAAAAGACATGGCCAGGGATAGGGAGGGGAATAAAAGAAAATGAGGCAGACAGATTCTAAGAAACAAAGTCAGATGTAGTCAAAGCAGAGAGTTAGCACATGCAATTTTTGAGGTGGGTAAGCAGACCAGAAAGAAGGCATCAATCATGCTGAAAGTCACTCTTACCTGTTGCCCTGCACTGAGGACGAACGACGGGTGGCTGCTGTAGATCAGAACTTGGCATTTATCCCTTTTCCCCTATTTCAACTCCACCCACCCAGCCTGGCCCTGCTGCATTGGCCCCAAAGGTATCTCAAGGCCTGGCTAGAGATAAAACTCAGTGTTTGTCCCCTCTCCTCTCACTTCCCCCTTCATCCAGCACTGACTGTGTTCTCTCTGCTTTCTTAATCTTGTCTCTTTGGAGTGGTAAAATGAGCTCACAGGACTTCAGAATCATACCACTTATATATGACTAGGGAGCCTTGAATAAAACCACCTCTCTGACCCATGATTTCCTCAACTAAAGCACAAGCAATAAAACTCAGAAGTAACTGTAGCACAAGTGGAACAGACTCTAACAGTTTACTTCCATAGATGACATCCAGGTTGTTGTAGCACTTCAGTAATGTCATGTAAAGAGAACACTTAGTACAGTGTACCAGATCCTTTACATATATTAACTTAGTTTGTCCACATCAAAACCTTATGAGATGGGTACTAGTCTCCATGTTACAGAGGTAGAAATTGGGCAAATAACTGATAACACCCAGTTAATAAGTACAGAGCCCAACTATGAGCCCAGGCAGTTTGATTCCAGATCCCACATTCTAAACACCTTTACAGAATATAGAGTTAAATTTTTGAAGTTTTTCCTCTTTTCCTTCCTATTATCCTTTCTCTATTCCTTTAAATTTTTTTCTTCTTTTCTATCTTCTCTTCTCAATCCTAGGACAGCAGGATCATGTCATAATCTGGCAGTTTAATCTGTAGAGCAGATTGTCACCATTAATATATTTACACAAATTAGAGCATACTTTAGATATTGATGTGAAATCCCCATCTTTTCCTTCTACCATATGCCAATATGCCACATTTGTCTTTCCATGTAAATTCATTCTGTTTAGTGCCTTATGGAATTTCAGAATCTGAATGCTACTATAATTTATTTAAAAACTTCCTTATCGATGGAAAATATATCACAGAATTATGAATAATTTGCAGTAAACATCTTTGCGCAAAATGAGAATTTTTTTTATAAGGTAGCATCTTAAAAGAAGAGTTACTGGGTCAATGGTTATATGCAGACATTTAAATTTGATACTGACAATTTTCCCTATATATATATATATATATATATATATATGTTATATATTCTCACCAATGATACATAAGAGTGTACTTGTGTCTGTTATCTCACCAACTCATAAACATATTTATTTATTTTTTTTTTTAAGTTTTTTTTAATTTATTTGTTTGTTTGTTTGTTTTGTTTATACATGCACTGGGTACAGTTAGAAGTGTGGGAGGGTGAGAGAATTCACCAGAGCCAGAGCGGGGAGCAGAGCAGGCAGAAGGACTGAAGTACACTGCTGAGGGGAGCAGCGGGCGGCAGGAGAGGTCTGCGTGCCATGTGGGACCCTCCTCCGGTGGCAGGGGAGCACCGGGGATTGAACCTGCGCCGCAGAGGCCGCTGGCAGCTTCGCAACCCAGCGCTCAACCGCTGCGCCACTGGGGAGGCCCTGTATTTATTTATTTTTAAAGCTCTATTTATTTATTTATACAAGAACCTGGTACAGGCCAGATGCATGGGAGGGTAAAAGGACTCACCAGAGACAGAGCAGGGAGCAGAACAGGCTGACTGACGAAATACACTGCTGAGGGGAGCAGCGGGCAAGACAGGGGAGGTCTGCTTTGCCATGTGGGACCCTCGCCGGCCGGCTGGGATCGAACCGGTGCTACAGAGGCTGCAGACAGCTTTACAGTGTGGCGCTCAACCACCTGCACCACCAGGGAGGCCCAACATATTTATTTTTAGCAATTTAAAAAAAAAATGTTTATCTGATAGGTCCTAGAAGTGCTATCTCAATGTTGCTTTTATTTGCTTTGTTAAAATTTAACATTTTTCATGTTTCTTGATCATTTGCCTATTTCCTCTTTTGAATTGTCCAGTCTAGTTCTTTGCCCATTTGGGGATAGAAATAAAGGGCCATGGGCTAAAAGTATGAGCCCTGGAGTCAGACTCACCCAAGTTATCTTACTCAGTATCTGTATGGTTCATAAGCTTCAGATTTCTCTCCATAAAATGGGACAATCATAAAACCTACCCCATACAATTGAAGAAGGGTGTAGCTATTATTACTGTTGTTGCTTGTAGTTTCCTTTTTGATTTGAAGGAGACCTTTGAATAGTGCGGTTATTAATCCTTTTTCTGTGATATTTGTTGTTCCACCTGGATTCATACATTCATTCAATAAGTATCTATTGGGTGATTACAATGTGTCAGGCAGTGTATGATAGGTGCTTCAGATACAGACAAATAAAATTGGAAAACATGAACACAGCATTTTTAAAAGTAGAAGTTTGTCTCCAGTTTTACTGGAAGGTATTTAAAATATGCTTGCATTAACCTCAACCTCCAATTACTTAGCTAGGCAACTGTTTGTCACTTTGGAAACTGAACTGAGATATCATCACCTCTAGGAAGTCTTTCCTGATCCCCACACTGAATCTGCTTCTGTTCTTTGGCTTCTTATGCCTCCTGGCCAGCACATATTTACACTGTAGTATCAGTAACTTATTTTATATCTTTCTTCACCAGAAGATAGTAAGAAACTTGAGCTTTGGGCCTTGGAACCATTGGTGCGGGGACTGTCAGAAATGCTTGCTGAATTCAATTCCACTTGCTCTGATCACCTATTCTACCTATACCAAGGTAAGGAACTGGGAAATAAAAGCTACCTATGGTAGTGGAAGACTTCCTCTAAACTGTTCTAGAGAAACATGTGAAGTGCCCTGAAAGTGCCTAGGACCTCCCAGGTCATTGGGATGGATGCTTAGTTGAAATTTCCTGTACTATTCCTTGTCTGTGTGAGTGTATGAGTGTGGGTGGCTATGGTTGAGTCTGATATCACATCTCCTTTGCAGGGAAGGGGTGGGAAGTAAGGAAGATGTTTCTTTTTCTGTTTGATTGGTGGTTGTGTGGGCCTGATCTCCCTAAAAGGCAATGTAACCCCAGAACTCTAGTCCCCGGTGTTCATGTGACACTTCAGAGTCTCTCTGCTGTTGTTAACTCAAAATTATGTGCTCACATCAAGTACTTTAAAAACCAGAAACTACACTGGAGAAGACGGTGCTGGGGGTGCACTACTGGAGAACTATGGGACTAAGGGTGCAGGGAGGTAATTACAGGTTTGAAACTGTGGCTCCCAAAATTACAACAGTTAGATCCCAAATTGATGGGGAAGAGGCATATAATATCACCTGTGTTTCCTCATAGTAGAGATTATATGATATATTTATGTAATTGATGTGGTATGCAAAATATGGGCATTACACCCACCCAGGGCCAAAGCTGAGATAACAACTGAATGGTCTCACTAACCAGAGTTTGAAACACCTGGATATTACAACAGGAAAAAGCCGCTCATAATAAGCTCCATACTCAAAAAGCAAATAGAAAAATTCCCAGCTTGTGACCCTGACTCAATTATGGTTCCCACTCAGTATTATATCTATTTCTTAACCACATCTTAGAGGTTGAGGCTGACATGACATTATTTGTGACCTTTTGGATGAGGAGTTGGCCTAAGGGAGGGGATCATTGTGGATCCCTACCACAAAACTTAGGTACCCACAGAACTGTAGGAAGTTTGAACACTTAATGTTCACTGGAAGTGATGTTTCAGTGCCAAGCTTTCTTGGTTTCTTCATACCTGTTACAACTTATGAGCACCACAGCCACAGCTATCTGGACAGGTATAAAGACATTAACCTATGAAATAAAAGACATCTAAAGATCCTGAGTAAAAAAAAAAAACAAAAACCTACAATCATACCCAACTTCTTGTAGGAGATTAAAAAGCCCACTTATCAAGCTACAAAAAAGAAACTCCCTATTAAAACCCATAAAACTAAACTAAAAATGATGAGACTGAAGAACAAATGCTGGAGCAAATAGACCATGAGAGAATTCCATGTAGCAGAATTGGAGAATATGTCTGATGAAGAGTTTAAGGTAACAGTTATGATCATGCTTGCTGAATGAAAAGAATGGAGGCAGAAAACAAGAACATAATAAAGACTGAGAAAATATGAGGCGGTTATAAATGGATCTAAAAATACTATGATCAAATTTAAAAGTGCAGTAGAGAGCCGCAACAACACACACATACAAGTAATGGAGAGAATCAATGAGTCTGAATGCACAGTGGCAGAAAACACAAATAGAACAGAAAAAAAGTAATAAAAAATGAATTTAAAAAAGAAAATGAATAAAAATATGAAAACAGTATAAGAACTCTTTGGGATAACCCAAAGACAAACAAAAGCTATATCGTGGTGGTTTTAGAAAAGAGAAATAGAAATGCCTGTAAAAGTTATTTTAAAAAGTAATTGCTGAGAACCACATCAATCTGGGGAATGAACCAGACTTTCTGATTCAAGAGGCCCAAAGAATTCCAAGCAAAATAATGTCAGACTGATACACTCCGAAACACATTACAATTAAAATGATGAAAGCCAACAAGTGAGGAATAATAAAAATATCAAGGAAAGGAAGAATAATACCTATTAGACTGTCCATAGACTTTTCAGTAGAAAAATTACAGGTAAGAAGGGAATAGCAAGAGCTATTTAAAGTACTCAAAGAAAAATATTTCCAGTCTAGAATATTTCATCTTGTAAGATTATCATTCAAGATAGAAGGAAGGGTAAGGAGATTCAATTAAAAGCAGGAGAGGGGAAGGAGAGGGATCAAAACAGGGGAGGGAAGAACACAAAAGAGTCTATGGTGATGGTGCATGGGTGAATTGGTGGTGAGGATTTTATGGGGACTACACCTGAAAGGAGAAAGCAAATATTGTACAAAAATGAACAATGATGTACTATATATATATAGTGTATATAGAATATATAGAATATATATAGTATATGTCGTATATATAGTATATGTCATATATATATATACATTAAAATAAAAAATAAAAGCTAAATTAAAAGAATATATCAATTCCAAGACAGAAATGAAATAAATGTTAA